CATATTAGGAGGGAGTATATATTAGGTCTAGTATAGTTTAAGAAGGGAAATTATAAATAAGAATAATAGAAGAGACTTATATATACTTAGGATAACCTAAGGCTAATATAATATTCTAAGCTAATATAACGATATAATCTAGTCTTAGTTTCTTATATACTCGGACTACTGAATCTTTAATTAAAGCTATATCGTAAATGATATTTCTACTAATAGTAAAGTAGTATTTCTTTAAGAGCTTAAACGTTACGTAGCTATCGACTTCTACTAAGGCCTTAAGCGATTTCGAGAACTAAGGCTTCCTATAGAGCTCCCCGTAAATAATATTACTCTAATCGAAGAAGAAGCTCCTATTAAGTATAGGAAAGAAAACCTAGCTAAGCTCCTATTAAGAGCCGAGCTAGACGAATCTACATCCTATAAACCTATAATAAGCTAAATAATCTTTAAAGTAAGCTTAGGAAAAAAGAACTAAAACGTTACTAAAAAGAATAGATATAGAAATAGGATATTTCGAAATCACTACCTAGGGAAAGGGGTTATTAAACTCTACCGAGGGCCCCTTTTATATCCCTGCTTCGTGCCTAACGGTTTCATAGCAGCCGAGCTGGTCGAGAATCCGCAAACCATTGGGAAGGAGGCCGATGCTGGCCCCAAGCTGGGGGGCAATGATCTTATGTGCTTCAAGAAGGATGAAGTCAATATCAAGAGCCTCTAACATGTTGGCCAAAGACAGCCCTGCCACGCTGCCTCCGACGATGATGACTTTGAAAACCATGATGACTTGCGTAAGGGTGATATGAATGGACTGAAGATTCTGGCTGGGAATCGGTGGGCTAGTAAGTCGTATCTAGCTCTTGAGTGAGGGCACCCGCATGTACTTATATAACTTATGTCGACCATGCTGTGGGACGTGTTGCATAATGCTTGGCACTCATAATGCTTGGCATATTTGGATTGCTCGCAGCGGTGACTGAGTCTCGGCATGGTCTCACGCCGCAATTAAATCTCTATACGCTCCCTGATTCGTCCATGTTACAACCATGGATCTTGGATTGCGAATCTTCAGATCGCGCTCTACACTCCAAAACACTGGATGTTATCACCCCAGGATGTGGCGCATGTATTTGTCCGCTTTAGCCGTCTCTCTTTCTTTACTTACCGATATAATGCCTTGTGCAGACGACTCTGAATGCTTTTAAATCAATTTCGTGGTCATAATTGAAACGGTTGTGTAGGGAGGTGGGCGTCAGTAAACATTGCGAGAACCCGACCCGCCATTCTCAAGGAAGCACTTTCGGGCTGACCCATCACCCGAGAGATCATCGGTTAAGTCATTTAGGAGCCAGGGACAGGTGATCGCGCAACGGCTCTCTCCTCGGCTTCGGCCTCTCGGAGTGCTCGGTAATGCACCTCTCTGTCCTTCTAAGGATTGATAAGTGGATCCTGTTTTTAAAGTTAGTAGATGAATCCACTCTTGTTGTCGCATTTTGATTCAAGAAGTGGAGTCACGGACTTCGTGTAAACCGAACCTCGACACCCACGTCGCCAGACTCGAAGCTCCGCGCCGGGATGTCTTCCTCACTGATGCCTGCCATACGTCCATCTGTTTCATACGCACAAGGGAAACGTTTATGTCTAGTGGCGTCTCTGACGACCTTGAAGAGGATTTAAGTGCCCAGTTGATTACAAGTCATCATTGTTGCTATGCCATCGAATCCATTACCCGAAAACTTGCGTCTCATTTCAACTTTGGTGTCGTTCAAAATTCATGTTAGGATTGAACAATTTGTAGTTTGTGCGGATCGAAGCCCACTCGCATGGAGAGTATTTAGTATCGGTTTCACTTGTCACTGTTAGAGAGAAGTGATTTACCCGTCGCTGCACACGTGTATCCTGCGCCGTAAAGTACATCTCCGCCTGCAGATTTATTGAACTCCAGACTATCTGCAAGTGAACGACCAATTGTTGTCTCTTCCTGAAGTTCTCCCTAAATTTGTAGGTCTAAAGTGCCTCTGGCGCTGAATATGCAATGTCAAAGCTATACCTTGCGCATTGTCTACGTCGTTGCATACCGCATGGAGTCCGATCCATGGAGTCGCATGCTTCCTTCACTCATTATTGACTTAAGATTTGTCGTGCTATGCACCCAAGGAAGTTCGCCACTCTGCCCATACGTATCGCGTAAGAGGGAGACCTAACTTTAGATGATTGGGATGATGGCCAGTGCGATTATTGAGGAAAGAAATACGAAGGTTCGTGTCAGAGACAATTCCAGGAATCTATAGGATGTCTTGTTCCGTGAAATACCAGATAGTCTTTAGATCGCGTCAAATTCGAAGGCGCTGAAGTCTGTGAGGTTATTGATCATAGACACCACTAAATAACTACCCTGGGGATAACATGGGGTGAACCTGAGAGATGATGGCGTCTCACCTATCTTTGTATTCAAGGCCTGAAGTTCACGTTAGACACCATAATTGTTCTCGATGTCCATGCAAACTTCGTCCAAGGCCGCCGGCTGCAAGAGGCTCTAGATTCACCCGGCCGGGACATGACATCCATCCAGGGTGGTCAAAGCCATGGCCTCGTGAGTAGCCGTGACCTATGTAAAAGTCGTTGCAATGTTCAGCCGGTTTGTGAACAGTCTTGGTGTAAAAATACGACTGATTATGTCAGACTGTCCGTCTGGTTGCATCACGAATCACTAGACCTTGTAGCGTCTGTGATGCAGATAACAAGGCAGAAGTCTCACCATCCATCATAACATCAAAGTGGTTTCCCTCGAGGTACCCTCCCTGCCTGCATCACCAATTTCGTGTCCAAAGCCGCCGCCCCCTGCCAACCTCCCTTCTCGGAAAGCCCCAGGATCTTACTAGTCAGTTGGCAGACATCGACCGATAACGGATCGGGGCTTGACAAAACAAGAGTGTCAAGTAAAGTGTTGCACGTAGCAATCGGAACTCAGTCTTACCATCTCGAGTGGTTTTGAGAGGTGGGTTGTTTATCGTGTAAGATCCCGAAGTTAGTCTGAAAGGTCGGTCACACCACAAGTGATGCCCTGATAGAAAGAGAGGCCTCGTCTTGCCCGCGGAAAACTCCACATGGTTGGGGCGTTCCGCGGTCCGGGTTCCGCGGGCCAGTGGTGATGCGGGCTCTGGTGATGCTGATTTGATGTACTTTGGAGCTAGTGACGGCCTGGTCCTTCCAGCATGACTCGTGGGAGGCCCGTCCACAATGGAGGCGAGATAAGAATATCTCTTGATCGGATATTCTACGCATACGAAAGAGTAGTCCACTATGGCAGGGTCAAAATGCTGATTGGGGACCAAGGTATTTATATGGCATCTTTCCCAGACTCCCAGACGTCACCCTTGCTCTACTCTCAGCATCATGGACTCCACGACTCAAGAGCAACAAACCATCGACGGTTTTCAGACCGAGAAGCCTGATATGGGCCTCAAAAACACCAGCACTCAGGAGGTGGTCGCATCCGAGCTTTTCCACGAGGAGAACTTCTTTACTCGCTATGGACTCAATCTTGCCTCGTTCAAGAAGGGCCATTATGGAAAAGGCTCGCTCGAGCTCAAGCGGCCCATGCAAGCCCGGCATCTGAACATGATCGCCATTGGAGGAGCGATTGGTGCTGGGTTCTTTGTTGGGTCTGGGCGGGCTCTTTCGTCCGGTGTCAGGCCCCTTCCCAATCTCGCTGGTCGTGTTTGTTAAAGGCTAACAACTTTTTAGGGACCAGCGTCTCTCATCATATGTTTCTGCCTGACAGGAATCTTGATCTTCAACGTCGGTAAGCACAACAGTCCCCCAAATTCACCTCTCGGTACACGATCTGATGCATATCTGACCAGTCTTCGCACTTGGCGAGTTGGCCGTCATGTACCCTATCTCCGGGGGCTTCTATACTTATTCTACCCGATTTATCGATCCGTCCTGGGGCTTCGCCATGGGATGGAACTACATTTTCTCTTGGGCTATCATCCTCCTACTTGAACTTACCGTCTGTGGTATGGTCATTCGGTACTGGGACAACTCCATCAGCATCGGGCTGTGGATCATAATCTTTATGGTGGCATTGCTCTTCTTAAACCTGTTCGGCGGTATTGGTTACGCCGAAGAAGAGTTCTGGGCCTCCTTATTAAAGATCATCACTATCAGCACCTTTATGGTGATTTCTGTTGTCCTGATTTGTGGAGGGGGCCCTTCTTCTGGACGGTACGACGATTACTGGGGCACCCGACTTTGGCAAGACCCCGGGCCATTCCGGTACGGGTTCCGAGGGTTCTGTTCCGTGTTTGTTACCGCTGCTTTCTCTTTCAACGGTTCCGAACTGGTGGGCCTTGCTGCTGCTGAAAGCAAGAACCCTACGAAAGCGCTTCCTAGTGCTATTAAGCAGGTCTTCTGGCGTATTACCCTCTTCTACGTCCTGGGTCTCTCTCTGATAGGCCTTCTTATTCGGTCTGACGATCTTAGATTGATTTCAGAATCCGCCTATGCCGACGTTTCTGCCTCCCTATTTGTCCTCGTCGGCCTTTACGCTGGTTTGAGGGGCTACGACCATTTCATTAACGCGGTTATCCTGATATCGGTATTATCCGTCGGAATGTCCTGCGTTTTCGGCGGCTCTCGGACTCTAACGGCTCTCGCTTAGCAGGGCTATGCCCCGGAGATCTTTACGTATATCGATCGCTCAGGACGGCCTCTGGCTTCTACTATATTCATACTGGCCTTTGGCCCGCTGGCATACGTCAACCTCAGCACGTCCGGACTAGTTGTTTTCGACTGGCTGCTCGCATTGGGTGGCCTTGCTGCAACGTTTTCATGGGGCTCCATCTGCCTTGCGCATATCCGCTTCCGCCAAGCCTGGTCGTATTATGGCCACACTCTGGATGAAATTCCTTTCCAAGCCGTCGGGGGTGTTTACGGCTCCTGGCTTGGATTGTTTCTCTGCTTTATTGTTCTGGCAGCTCAGGTACGCCGTTATTTCTGCTGCTCGTCTGTCGAACTAGGACTAACATTGGCTAATTCAGTTCTACACCGCAATCGCACCACCGGGAAAAGAAGGACTCAATGATGTGGAGGGGTTTTTCAAAGCATACCTAGCCCTCCCTGTAGTTCTTTTATTCTGGGTTTGTGGTTTCATTTGGAAGAGATCAGGCTGGCTCAAGATACGGGATGTGGATGTTGATACCGGGAGGCGGGAGCATGACTGGGACGAGATCAACGCGCATCGAGAGATGGTTGCTAGTCAGGCCGCCTGGAAACGCCTGCTCGGTAGGATGTTCTAGAGGAACTTGACGAAATCGCCTGAAAGCTTGATGGCCAGACCAGGAGCCATGATTTGGCCACTCGAAACAATCGACAAAGCACTTTGTGTACTGTACTTTTGCGGATAAGAGTACATTTCGATGTCTTCTTAAGGCTGAAACTGCCCACGTGACTCAAATTATGAAACTCTGTAGCCGTCGAGTTTTATTTCAGCTCTATCTTGGCCGTCATATTAGTGCAGTGGGACCTAGTATCTGCTCAGGGTTGAGCCATGGCAAGCTCGCATCATAGACTTAGCAGGCGAGGTAGGTGCCGTTAAGATAGGGAGGCTTCTCTTAGTCATTGTAGATGTGTGAGCAGCTGGTAAAGCCTTGGCAATTCAAGAATGTAATGACTCTAAACTAAGTTTGTGTTACGGTCCTCATAGCTTAGAGAGTGATCATTCGGTGAAGGGTGACAATTCAGCCGGCCTCAAAGCCAATATGATACATTTTCAGCAGTACTGGTAGTGACCAGCATCGCAAGTCACACAAAGTAAGACCTACCACGTACATACGAAATTTGGTATTCAGCTGTTCAAAATCTGATGGAATGGTTGTAGCGACCAGGCTATACCTTAGCTTGATGTGATGTGTCTGCGCAATCAGTGCTCTCGAGCCATGTTAGGAGAAGGTAAGGATACGACATACCTGGGTTACCACAGACTAGCAGCAGAACAGATTGTGGTATTATCCAAATGGACTATTCAATACATGAAAGCATCAATCCTTTTCAAATCATTATACCTGATCACAGGCAGCGTCAGAAACTAGGCAGGCCAAGTAGTTTTCGTGAGTCTATGTATGCACACAGCATGACTCCCAAGCACATGCGACCATACCTGCTGGAAAACTCGGGATCCCGTCCGCTCTCCCCTAGATAAGCTAGTAAGGGCAGTATCATATTTAGGAGAAGTCTCTACTATAAGGCTAAGATAGCCCGCACAGTACGCGCCTATATAATCTTTCCCCTCTTTAAGCCGCCGCTTTAGGCCCTACTATAAGCGCTTATATATATAGTATTCTAATTAGTAGCCTTAGCTTATATAGTTTAAGGGGGTCCAAATATACTGCCTTAATTTCAGTATTCCGATTTAATTAGGGGGTACTAATAAGTTAAGACCTAGGAGCTTAGGTTTTATAAGTAAGTACGTCGTAGTATCTTTAGTCTACTAATTCAAAGCTAGAAATAAGCTAAGCGTTAAACTATATAGTTTCTTATCTAGTGTATTATTATATACTATAACCCGAAGCCTTTAATATTAGATTAATTATAATACTTCTTAGTAAATAAAGTATCTATAGAATACGACCTATCTAAAGATCTAGCCTAGCTATACTTATATTTATACTATAATATCTAGCCGATAATATAGAGAGAGAGAAGGGGAAGCTTAATTAGAGTTATCTACGTCTAGTATATATATAAGCGAAGCCTCTCTCTATTTAGTAGATAACGTTTAAAGCTCTTAAACTACTATCTTACTTTAACTATAATATAGGGATTAAGCGACCTATTTAATCGTATATAATACTTAGAAGGTATAAGATACTATCGCTTTAGTAAAAAGTAAATATATTCCCTATATCTTTATAATAATATCTTCTAGCTCTAAGAGCCTTTTCCGCTCTATAAAACGTAGATTCTTTATTTTTATTATAGTAATCTTAGTTATTTATCGACCGCTCTTAGGCTAAGTAGGTTTAGAGGCGTAATTCTAGGGTAATAAGCTAAGAGCTACTTAATAATATAATTATAATAAGCGAGGTTTATATTAAAAACGAAACGTTCTAAGTAGTGAAACCTAGGTTATATACGTTTTCCTACCGTATATATCCTAAAACTATTACTGCGTTGTGAATAGTAAATACCCCCTCCGTTCTTAGGTATAACTAATAAAGCTACTTTTTTCGTTATAGCTCTCGCTAAAGCTAAACTTTTCGCGAGAGGATTTAAGGCGAAAGGAATAAGCGTAAACTTTAATTCTAATAAGTAGTAATACGAGTTATAGAATATAATAGTATTTATAAAGGATAGAAATTAATAAGAAACTCGAAAGGCTAAATTTTTTATTTAGTAGTATAAAAATATATTACGTCTTTACTTAGAGAAACTAAGTTAAGATTAAATCTATATAATAGAAAGCTATTATAGTAACCGACGTTCTTATTAAATTATTAATACTACGTAATAGTCTTTAATCTATAATCTATAAATCGGTTAATTACGAGAAGACGACTTTATTATTTATAAGTCTACTATTAAAAAATATATTTACGTATTAAGAACTATATTTTTTAATTTACGATCTATAGTACTTAAGTATAAATAATTATTAAGTATTAAAGCCTTCTTCGTAACTAATAGACTAATTAGCTAGGGGAGGGATCTTAACTTAATAGTAATGATCCTAAAGTTATAATATACTTTAGTATATTCTTAGAGGAGCTAGACCGTAGGCTCTAATAAGATTTAGAGCTTAGCTAAATTATAAGTAACTCGTTTAGTATCTTACTATTAATAGAGAATAAAAAGTAGCTCTAAAGCTCTTATTAATACTACTAATCTAGGTCGTAATTTAGTAATATAGGTAGGGGGGTGGCTTTAGGCTAAATTAACTAGGCTTAGACGGTAATGCAGAGTAAGTATAGCTCGTTTTTTACTTATAATATAAAAGAGAGTATATTATATAGAGTTAATCCTAATTATAAGTACCTCTAAGACTAGCTTATATAGGCTTTAGATAATAGTATTAGAGATATTAAAAATAGTTAATATAATTAGGATAAGCTACCTTCGCTAGTAAGGCTAGCTATATAATTACTAGCTCTTCTACTACTACCCTAGACTATAAAAGTAATGGCCCCGTTTATAAGTTTCTACGAAAAGTATCCTATAGATAAGTAAGAGACCCTCGAAGTTATTATTAGGGTAACTAAAACCTAGCTAAGCTATCCTTTATTCATAGTAAAGAGTAAATAACTGAATAAAGATCTTATTATATATAACGTAGAAGCTTAAATAATTCTCGGAGAAATTAATAAGCTTACGAAAAACTATATTTAGAGATTTTAGTAACCTTATAGGGATTTATTTAGAATAAGGGCGCGATTAAGAAGTAATATTACGTATATTGTAAGTATCCTAGTCGTCGACTTAGTTAAAGAGGCTATAAATTCTTTATTAGGTCTTTTAGATTAAGCGTTAAAGGACTTTCTAGTTAAAGGAGGTAGTAAGAAGATATTAGAATTAAGGGAGGCTTTTTAGAAGGTGAAAAGCTTAGTAAAGTGCGAGCTAGAGGGCTTATCCTTTCCCGAAATTCGAGAGGGAGACTAGCTGAATACGCTAGAGGATAACTACAGGCTAGAAACGTAGTTTACTACTTCTTATTACTAAAGTATTATATAGCTTAGCTAGCTAGATAATACGAATTAAAGAGCGATATTACTTAGCTTAAAAGATTTTTAAAATATTATATTAATTATTTGTTTACTTTTAATTAATATTATAACTCTTCTAAGGTAAAGTACTATTAATAGTCTTAAGTATTAGGATGAAGTTTTTATAGTAGGGCTATATAGTACGTAGTAGTATTACTCTAATATAAAAGTTCTATTTAATAGAGCTATAGTGCTTATCCTTTATAAAGCTTTACTCTCTCCTCGGGGAATTTATATATACTAATTTATCGAGCTAAAGCTATAATTCGCTAACTAATTAGGAGATATATATCTTTTATATAGCTAATAGTTATCGCCTTAGTATTAAAACTCTATTATAATACGTTAATACTTAAAAGAATAGGATAAGTAGAGAATATAGATAGTTAAAACTATTTATAAAATTTATTACTAGAGATTACTATAAGTAGATAGCTATACTACTTCTAAGTTCTACCTTAATCTTAATTATAGGTACTATTCTAAGTAACTTTTAAAGACGTTTCTTTAACGTTAAAAGGATAGTTTTTACTATAAGACTTAGTAAAACTAGTTAGGATAAATATAATAACCTTATATCTAACTTTCTAGAATATATTAGTACTTTTATTATTAAGGCGTATAGCTATTATAAGTTTACTTTCTTTAATTTCTACTATACTTTATTAATAACGTTAGTTCTTACTTTTCCTAAATTAGAAGATAGATTATACTTATTACGACCTAGTAGCTTCCGAAGGGGGAATACTATTAAAGAGGGTTAGGGTTGCTATTAGTAGAAGCTTAGGTTATAACTCTAAGGCGATATAGTATCGTAAGGTATTATATACTTATTATAATAGATATAAAGTAAGACTTAGATTAATTCTATCGTGAGAAAGAGTATATCTATAAGTATAAGAAT